TCAATTTCAAAGGCTACCGTGATATCGGTTTTTTTTCGAACATATACTTACAGCATATAAACCGTGATCCAGCAAGATAATATCACAGGATCCTTTTTCGTTCTTCCTAACTAAAATGTTCCCTGGATGCGGATCACTGTGAACGAATCCACGGATGAAAATCATTTCTGAATATAATTTTCCTAGTTTATTTGATATCTCATACGGATCTATTTTATGCTCGTTAATGTACTTTAGATCGTTCACTTGACCGCCCTCTACAAATTCCATTGTTAATACTCTAGGCGTTGTCATATCCCATCTAAAAATAAAAATTAGTAAATGTTAATACAAAAAAATATTTATTAAGTTCATGATATATTGTAGTTCTTCTCGCGTAACTTTTCCGTGTAAACTTTTCTCGGTAATCACCGGTAATCTCCGAGCGCCAATTTCAAATCGTCAAATGACACATAATAACTGTGAAAATGACTTTTCAAATGTTAAGCTCAATGATTTGACATAACTTTTGAGGTTATGTCGTAATTCTTCCCTATTTTAAGTCTTTTTTTTTAGGGCAACGGCCCAGCTACGTCGAAACACCGGTTCCCATTAGAACACCGAAGTTAAGCGACGTAAGGCGATACTAGCTGATGGACGGGTGACCGGTTCGAAACTCTGTATCGTCCTGTTGTCCAAGGCAAAAGTGTAAAATCTATTGACACGCACGCCGCGCCGCCCGGTTCGTCGAGGCCGGATGAGATCGGATATCTCATGAGTAAGAGTCGATTTAGACACTTGCCAAGTCGGTAGGCCATTGACCATGATATGGCCGAGGACAGCGGTTCGGATTCCGCGTAAACAAAGTAGGGCCCGTCCAGATTAGCCCTGGCAGCAAAAAGGAGACGTTAACTTGAAGTCTTCTTTATTAGTGGCAAATGTGGCAATTGAACAATATGAATATTTTTGTATGAACTGTACAAACTGAACGAAATTGGAGCCGCTATCGATCATACTGTTACGGATTCCGTGGGTCCACTAATTTAAACTCACGATAAAATACTTAACTAATTTATTTTTCTCACAATTTATACTAATAACACACAATTAACTAATTAGAAAATTCCTTCGCCAAATTGTCCGATTCGTAATAATTTAAACGCGGTATATTCAAACTTCAAACTGGTCCAACTGCCAAGCGCGGGCTTTGTATACTCTATGGCTGGTGTTTCTGGAACGTTCTAAAGAATTCTGTAATATTCTTTTACTTTCTGGCGAATGCGCCAGGTTCCTCAATGCACGTTTCGGTTATGTCGGCAACCAGCAATACAGTTTAGCGCCACATACACCTTAACAATACCTTGTTTTCTTTGTATCATGGGTACTCTATACCTATATATTATCTAGTGACTTTGTTTAGGTAACGATGTAACCTCAAAAGATTTATATCAACAGACATAGCGTTACTATACACGATGTCAAATGTCAAAAATAAGGAAAATAACACGAGAAGAACTATATATTTTCTACAAAACCTAACTTTCGGCACTTTCAACCAGTCGACATTTTCTTTCAAACATCTGAGCTGATCTTCTCGGCATTTTACCCTCCTGAGCGAAGTTTAACTCTTGGGGAATGTTCTTTTTCGACCTCGTCGACCAGCCATTGAATTTGAATTCGGGAATTCAACTCATTGGCTTAACCAGGTACTCCATCGTTTTCATGTCAACTCTAGAATTACCTTGCACATAAGGATGTTGCACCTATTTCAATAACTTTTATAATTCTACAGATTAAGGAAAAATAATCGTACCTTCACTGCCACGGTGGCGCCATCTTTGAGTACGGCTTTGTGCACTTGGGCAAGGGATGCAGTACCGAGTGGTTCCGGGTCAATTGATTCAAATATTTCCAATGGCTAAAATATTTTACATACAGGGTGTTTCAAGAAACATGTGCCATCTCTCGTGGGGAGATTTCCCACGTAAAAATAAGATTTATTTATCATATCAACACAGGTCCAAGTCCTCAAAGTTTCGAATGAAATTTTGAGGGTAAAATTTATAAAGTAGGTAAAATATTATACACCTAATTTATTCATTCTATTTTTATAAAATTGCGTTTATTTCATCAATATCAAAAGATAACTTTTAATTGGCATTAAACGGCTTACACAATTTTGATATCAAAAGAAAAAAAGTCAGTGGCGCACATGCTTTTTTTGAAGAATATTCCAGTAATAACCCATATGCACGTTCCTGATGAATTTATCGACACTTTTTTAGCATTAAAATATGTAGCTTTACTGTATACTTTCACCCCCAAAAATTCGTTCGAATCGCTAAAAGTACTTGGAAGAAAATTATAATAAATCAAAAGATTATTAAGCTTTTAACACCCTGTAGCTACGACACAAAGCAGAATCGGACCTATATTAATATAAAAAATAAATCTTATTTTTATGTGAGGTATTTCCCCACGAAAGATGGCACATGTTTTTTGAAACACCCTGTATTTGTATTTGTATCATACCAAGCTTCATAAAAATACTATACAGGGTTTTAAAAAATATAATTTTTTTGGATATTTTTCCAGTAATTCAAAACATAGTATTTTATCATTAAAATTACACAAAACAAAGTAAATCCAACAGGAATAATCACTAGTGTAATATTTTTCTTTACTGTTCATAATAAAAATAAATACCATTTGTTGCAAACTTTTTGGTATACCCTGTATAATACTGGGGGGTTTTACTCTTAACTTTTTTTGTAAAAGATGGAGATTTTTAAAACATTTTATAAATTAAATACAGCATGAAACAAACATATTTTTAAAACAATTTTTTCAGATTTTCAACACACAAACAAATTCTAGAGATTTTGATATCTGGCAAGTACAAAAATATTACAAATATGGGCGTTAACAACAAAAGTGGGATAATACATATAAATCTATATAAAACTAGCTGTAACTTACATCTTTCTTAAAATCCTCTTTCAATACTTTGTAAATGTCTTTTAACTCGGTACTAGGGGCCTGACTATGCAACACTTTCATCGTTTGTACATACTCAGAAGGTAATAAATAATCCAGAGCTGCTATGTGCTGTCCAACTTTAATATAAACACCCTTGTTCTCACAACACAGGTCCAACAGTTTCTCTGCGGACCGTTTATGGCATACAGACT